CCTAAAATTCAACTCTTTTTTCAGTACAGTATTATTTGTCCCTATTCAAACTATGAACATGAAGGATAGATCCAGGCGCAGAAGCACACACCTGCAATCCCAGCACTCAGGAGGTGGAAGCAGGAGAACTGCCACGTCTTAGAGGCCAGTCTGAGCCCCTAGTGAATTCAAGACTATCTTGGATACATAGCAAGACCCTGTCTCAGAAAAAAAAAAAAAAAAAAAAAAAAGATAACATTACGTGATTTTTGGTGGTTTGGGCTCATTACACCTTATTCTGAGGGCTCCACGGCACCTCTTTGTTATGTGGGACACTACAAGACCTGCAGCATTACCCCATGCTCATTTCTTCTGTAAAGTCAAGATGGTGTGTAGTGTCGGGCCACTGCTGTTTCCATGACTCTGAGCTTTGATGCACGGGAATAGAGCTGCAGATGCAACTGGTGAGGGTGTGAGTGAAAATATGGAATTGCGAGGAGGTCTCACCAACGGATCTCCAGAAACCCCAGACATGCCCCTGCAATGGTTGGAGCTGAAGGAAGGCGCGGATTTTTTCCTAAGAGTACCTCTTAGCCTTCTGTTTTGCCTGGCTCTTAATATAAACAGTGCATATCTCTAGCATATTGACAAAGGGATATCAGGGTAAACTTAGAGCTTCTTCTTGTAATTTGCTCTGGAATCTACGCCATCAGTGCAATAAGTATCTGCAAATTCATTTCACATTTTAAAAGCATGCTTGAGTTTACCTCATTTCTATAGATTTTGAAAGTTCTTAAAAGCACTTGATTTATATGAATATCAGTTCTTCACATGTAGCTTATTTTCTGGATGCGTTTCCTTAGAGTTTGTTGTCCAGGCACTCATTGCATTTAGTTTGCTTATGTAGAGAATGGTCAGGCTGGTGTATTGCATGTCTTTTTCTAAACCAGGCCAGTCTTACTGAAAATAAATGTGTCTGCTGCTCTCTCTGAGTGTTTTCAAGAGCTAAGATTAAACACACAATGAAAAATATCTTGTACTTTCTGTCTCTGTCTTTCTTTCTCTGTCTTTCTGACTTTCTCTGTCTCTCTATGCCTCTGTCTCTGTCTCTGTCTCTGTCTCTTTCTCTGTCTCTGCCTCTGTCTCTGTCTTTTTTCTAAGGAGAACAAATGTAGGAGTCAAGGGAAAAAATCTCAGGGACATATTTAACTAATGTGAACTAACAAGAACAGTTTATGACTGGTGGAACTTTGTTGTTCAGAGCGTTCATTGTAGATTGCAGTTATTTGTAACTTTGTCCAATTATCAAATTTAGGAATACCTGCTGCTGTTCAGCACCTAAGGAATCTCTTCTTCTATTACCTACTTAAAATATACTAGACTAGCATGACTGCTTGTCGCTACTTAAACTGTGCAATAGGCCCAATTAAATTGGATCAATTAATTATATTTATTTTAACCTCAAGGTCAGTCAGAAGAGGTTTTTTATTGTTTAATTACAGATTTAATTATATTCAATCACTGAACTTGAAAAAAAAAAACACTGAGAGCATTTAACTCTAATGAGATTCACAGAAACATCTTGAAATATATTTTATTTTCCTGCCCAAGTCTTTCAAGCTATGCAGAGATGCATCACAGGAGAGAGCACAGGAGGTGGGGCCTGTGACAGGGACAGTGACCCCAGGCCAGAGGATGCTGCTGTCTTCAGAATACCTTGAAGGTCTGCCAAGTGCCATGCATGGTCTTTTATCACTGAATGTCTATAGTTATGCTCTTTGTTTTCAGAAACTCAATCACCTCTTTCCTTTGAATGCCTCACTTTCAAAACCTTTCTTCAAAACTGATATTGAGTTTGCATTGCATTTAAGGATATAAGACAAAGAGATCAGCGCATCAAGGAAAAAATGGTTACTGATACCCTAAGTGTTAAAACATGTTTTTCTTAGTAGATGTTGGGTATTTTTAGATAATAACTTTTTAGTTTTGGAGGAAAAAACTGCTAAGATAGGGTAGTCTTGTACTGCTTATAGATCTAGTACTCTAAGAGATAGTTTCATAATTTGGGGGTTATCCTGTAGTGTCCCAAATCCTGCAATTACTGCAGCACACAATTACAGACAATGTTGAGTGCTGCTTCTTTCCTTTTCCTCATTTGTACCTTGCATCTTTGATCACTATATTATTCATTTGCATTTATGTCAAGAACAGGCAGGAACAGGCTTCGATTTCAAGGTTATGTTTGAAAGTTAGTTCAGCCAGCTTCCAAATGTGCTAGCCCTTCATTTGGCACTTTTCTGCTATTGTTATCATTTTCTTGAAACCTGCATGAGATTCCTATTAGTAGAGGCTGAGACAGCCCTGGTGCGGTATTCTTCATCTCAGGGGCAAGTTGAAGTGATCACCAAGTCAGTGCTCACTTTACACAACTGAATCATACGACCAGATTTTTCACTATTCCCATTTGCTCTGGGTTTGCTTTCCCCAGCAGTCTAAGTACAAATATTCTCCAAGTTACCCTGTTATAGCAAGTGTTTAATGCCTGGTAGTGTCCAGAAGCAAAATATTTTCTTTCATAGGCAAATATTTTGGCTATAATCAAGTAGTATTAATTTCAGGGAGAAAAGGAAACAGTTAAAATAACATTTTCAACAGTGAGAGGTCCTTAAAGACATAGTTTTCATAGTCAGGAATAATGACAGTGGAAGGGAAGTAAATCAGTGTGCAAAAGGACACGGGGAGGCTAGGGATATTTTTATAATATTGTGATCATACCACTGGAATATTTCAATAAAACTTGATCTCCTCTCATGTTATTGTGTAAGAAAAAAGAGAAAGAAAGAAAAGAAACAGTGTGCAAGGGACATAAAGGAATTAGCCAATGATTAGAGACAGGATTTTCTTTACATTGTCTAATAGACTTGTTTATTATTTTAAGCTGGTAAAAAGAGACTTATGATTCATGTTGAAGAAAGAGTTATTTGTGCTTGGTACATTGAAGACACTGTTCAAAAGCAGTTTGTCCTTATAAAAGGATGACCCCTGTAGTAATTCTTAGGCAAGGAGGGACAAATTCAACCAACAAAAAGCATAGCTCGCCCCACGTTCCCCATGATTTCTCCACATAGAGCAAAAAAATACACATCAGTAATTTATTTGAACATGCACATCAGTGAGTAGCGCAGCTGCCAGCCACTCAGGAAACAGAAGGGAGAATATCAGCATTGCCTAAATAAAAGAAGAGAGGTGAGTCACACCATTTTAATTGTCTTTAAAACACAGAGAAGAGGAGCAATTAAAATATAGTCCTAAACAGTCCTAGCTAATGTAGATTACATAAGTATACAATATGGTTCAACGAATAGTGCTCTGACAAGCATAAACCACCAGTTCTTGTAAACAAGGCCCAGGTCAACTGCTGAGAAAATGTTAGATTTGGGTGTAATAAAAGTTACTTTTATTTCAGTACTGAATGCAAAATACAGGTCAAGACTGAAGACAGCATTTTATAAAAGGTGGCTCTATTAAAGCAAAGAGGCCGTTTCCTTTTGCAATTTCATAATTTTGGAATTCCACTTTTGACGTTCATTTTCTTTGCTTTTCCTCCCCTGAGCACTAATTTATCAAAAAAAAAAAAAAAGATTTCAAGGTGCAAGTTGTACATTCTTATCATTATACCATCTTATCTCTTTCTGGAAGAGAGTATTACAATCAGCATTACAATGTTAATTCTTTTTTTCCTATTGTCTTGTTCCACATACACATACTTCAAAACCATAATGTCGCTTGGGAAAAGAAACCTACGAATGAGAGATAGTGATGCAGTCATACACTTCCTGTTGTGCTGTGTGTCTTTCCCATCCCTTCTCCCCTTTCCCTGTAAAGAGCTGTAAAAAATTTAAGGCAGATGAGGTATATTGCTGAAGGAAAAAGTTATTTTTGAAAAAAACTCAAAAAAACCTTTTATTCTGCCCTTCTACTCAAGAAAGACGACTCAACTATAAATCTAGTGCTAGAAAAAAGCAGGAAAGACACCGTTTGCATGTACCATACTATGTCTTCTAGTTCTAGAATGGCTTTTTGTTAATTTAATTTTAATAGAAAAAATAAGCACCTTAAGCTATGAACGAGAAAAGAACTTCATTATTAGTGAGTCTGGAATCCAAACGGAATTAAGAACACTCACTCAAACTCTTTCACTCATTCTCACAAAGGCCAATGCTACTGATTAGGATTGTAAAGTGCTGTACTTCGTATAAACACTTGGATACACTGCGGACACTGAAAAATAACCCTCAACCACATTGTGTTATAGTTTCAAAAATATATTTACAGTCTATTACAAAGATTACAAATGGAAGTGTCTAGGTGACTGTATTATGCTAATTAAAATTATTTTTACAGATAATTTTTCCTTAGGGACAAAAAACATTTTAGTGAAATTAAAATGATTTTCTAGTCAATCAAAAATAAATTAAAGTAACACTGTACAGTGACTTAAAAGGAAAAAAAAAAGAGGGTGGGGAGGGGTTTGGGAAGCAATCCATTTGAGTTTTTCTATAGCCATCTTTGGTCCTAAATGTGGGAACAACACATAATGTAGCACTGAAAATACCTGTTCTTTTGTGATGCTCTGCAAGTAAAATAGAAAAATATAGTGCATTTTCAATGTACTCAGAGCCCACTACAGAGAAATGTGTGTACAAAACAAGACAGTATAAATAAAATTTACAAGTTTTACAAAGGAACATTTACAGATTTTTGTTTCTGCTGTTTGTTTGTGGATGTCCACATTATCAAACAAGACCAATTCTGCCCGATCCCTGGGATCTTTCTCTAGTAAAATCATTATAAACAGCCCGATTTTCTTTGGAAGTAAAACAGTTCAATTCTGGGGTAGTTCATGATTTCTATAACTTTTGAAAGCGTTTACTCACAATATGTATACATTCCTGAAATATCTATAAAGACACATTTAATTATTGCTTATGAAATTCTAACACAGTAATCAAATAATATGGTTCAATAAATAAAGTTTTTTATTATTATTTTAAAAAAGCCAGATCCTTAGCCTCTTCCTTCCAGGATAAAAAGAGTTCTTTCATTTAACAGGTTTCTCGCATCAGTGTTCACAAAGAAAAGACTTTTTGTGTTGTTTTGTTTTAACTGCAATGATATATTCTATGCAGCAGATTTGTTTTCAGATGGTGAAAACTGGGAACTGCCCCTTTAGTCATGCTCCAGAGTTCTTGTATAAAACTTAGTTTTTTTTTTTTTTTTTTAATTTTCCTTGTATATTTGGACTGCACTTCAACAGCAAGAATATAAAATATATGTCCACTATTTCTCTTAAATTGCTTAATGTTACAAGACTGAAAAATCTGTCTATGCTCAGAAGAAACTTTAGATAATTCTGGATAGTTCTTGCTTCCAGAGACTTGATTTCACCGGCATTCTTCAGATGAAGTGCCTTATCTTTTTTAAATATAGTCATGAACCTAAAATTTGAATTCTATTAATTAAATTCTGTCTAGTAAAGTCACTCTATAAACAATCTGTTAAAAGTGCCTTAGAGTATTTATGGATCATTATTGCTTTTTTTATTGAAAAGTTAGTGTGTTGTCTGATTTTTTTTTTTTTACAAAAAATTTATTTTTAAAAAATATCAGCGCTCTTGGCAACTTACATTTTCTGGACTACCTGCCAATTAGCAAACAATATCAAAACAGCACTGATTAAACGGAATCAAATGGCACAAAAAGGATACCAATATTATGACAAAGATATATCTTATTCATGCTATTTTTTTTGTCCATTTTTGTTTTGAGATTCTTTCAAAGGTACCCAGTGTAGTAAGGTGTCATAAATTTAACACTAAAAAGGTTCAAAGGTATAAACAACTTTCTAAAACAAAGTCCTTATGAGGAATAAACACAAATGATTTTAAAAAAGAATAGCCTGAAATCACATATTTAAGTAAAATATTTCATTAACAATAAGATCATGATTTTATTTGACAAATATATTCTTTCTTAGATTCTTTATGTACATTTTAAAAAGTCTATATGATAAAAAGGAGGTTAGAGAGCTCAAGGTGTTTGGATGTTTTTCAGGTAGTACTTTGTTTATTGTCACTGCTGTTTTCCTGGCCACCAGTGGTGGATCCTAAAATTCCCTTTTTATATAATCTGGTGGCACTTAGGAGTTCAAGTCTGTAGGTGCTTCTCACACTGTCTCTCCTTTTGGAAGGAGCCAGGACACCAACTGTCTTCTAGCAGCATTCTGTGCGGATACTGAAGGCCAGTACTGTTCTCTTGAATTCTATCAACTCCCTCCTAAGGGAGAAACACTCATCACACTTGAATGCCAGTCCCATGTAGATGGAGCATCTGCGCTCTCATAGTCTGAATGCTGCTCATGATCTTCTTTTGATGGCCAACCAGTGTGATCCCTAAACTCATCACATCTCTGAAAGAGACAAGTAGATTTTTATTAGATACCTTACAAAGAATTCACAAGTTCTAACTATCATCACACACTTAATGAGCCATTCTGGTGTCTTTCATAGTTCTTGGCATCTAACATAGCTCTACAGAGATGACCATTAGCAACCTGCATCATCTACATTCTTTGAAGCTCTCAAACTTGCCATGGAGGTTACTTCTGAAGTGCTCTGAAATTATATATATATATATATATATATATATATATATATATATATGCAATAGTATGAAAAGCTTTACAATTATTATTAACTTATATGATTAGGAAATGTTATTGGAAATCTACTTTTGAATCTAGCTGGGTGTATGATTTTTAATTGGAAAAATAGGGTATAGTGTGAATGAAAATACTCGCTGGGACGCAGTAGAAAGATGCTATCACAGACTCAAACACTTTGTGTAAGGGGAGACCAGGGAGATGGCTCAGTAGAATAAGCACTTCTGTGGGAAGTGCAAGGGCCTGAGTTCAATCCCTGGTTTCGCAAAAAAAAAAAAAAAAAAAATTACAAACACTTTGTATATACTAAGCAAGTGCTATACTACTGAGCACCATCCCCAGCCCTTTGTAGTTTTTACTTATTTTATTTATTTATTTATTTATTTTTCCATAATTATATTGAGAAACAAATAGCAATGAGACAGTTTCAAATTAAATTGGTAGGACAGTTTCAATAATTAACACACTGCATACATTCTTCCTAGTGCTTAATTGCTGTATAAGATGTGGATATGATATCCAATTTACAAACATTATTAGAAGAAATCCTTCTATTCATTAAGAGAATGTAACTATATATCTATCCTAAACACTTTGAGTACACAGATACAAAATGGACATTCATCTGTATCCCCTTTTTTTTTTGTTAAGTTCCATCATTTAAATATTATAGGTGTGTAAACTCAGCAAAATATTCTAAATGCGTTCAGTAGTCCATAATAGTATTGGGTCTTCCACTTCACTGTCAATGTCATACATTGTTGACCTGAGTCCCCTACAGCTCAACATAATACTTTTTTAAATTTTGAGACAATTTCATTAAGTTGGTGAGACTGACCTTCATTTTAGAATCTTCTTACTTTCTTTTTCTGAGTATGTGGGAATACAGTATGTGGGGTCCAACACACCTGGCTGATCAAAAACTTTATACTGAGTTTAATTACCATGTTGATAATTCTAAGCACATTATTATTGTGTACTTCAGTTCACTTATTTTACTATAGCTAGGGAAAACAGTTTAAAAGCATTTTATGTTTAATGTTAAATTTAAAATATGTTTATAATATCTATGTAATTGTGCCTTTTCTAATAGCCAGAAAGGTTGAGTTTGGCTATTTACAAGGAGCTAAAACATTATAACATGATAGTGTTTTACAACAGGAACTTTAGAAAGTATAGTTTTGCAGATTACTGTGAGGATTTGGTTATAAATATACTATTTTCACCCAGACATAGATTTGAATAAAACAAAATAAGAGAATATGTACCTGCTTAAATTCATGCACACACCCTTTCCTAAAGTATACCAGGAAGAGTATTTGATTGCTGGTTTCATTTTTGTATAAGAAATGTGAAACACTCCTCATGTCAGAACATAAATAATTCTTCACAGCCAGGTGTGGTGGTGCACACCTGCAATCACAACACTGGAGGTTTCAAAGTTTAAAACAGCCTGAATTATGTCTCAAGGGAGGCTGAGACAGTAGGATTGCTGTGAGCTTCAGGGCAGCTGGGGCTACACAGTGAGCTCAAGGTCAGTCTTACTACAAAGTGAGAGTGTGTCTCCAAAAACATAAGTAAGAAAAAGAAAGAAAGAGTGGGGGAGAGAGAGAGAGAGAGAGAGAG